ATGCTTTGTTTGCATGATAACTTGCGTTCCCTTTTTTTGCTTAGCATTTTCCCCTACGTGCTCCACATGCGACGCCATGTTCACTGCTCTGTTGATGTTTGCCTTGATTGACAGGTTCGGTGTCGTCGGTTCACCGACGCGGAGCGGTTATCTAGGTAATTTGTTGTGGCCCCGGCGTCATCCCGGAACGTCCCTCCGCGTCAGGGTTCAATTTCTTACTCGGTGTTGATGCCTTTTGCTTGCAGCGTGTATGGCCACAGGTGTGCCGTCCGCTGCGGTAGTCTGCCTATCATCGGCACACCTCGTATCGGTTCCGCGTCTGCTGTACGGGTAATCGTAGTTCCCTGCTCTTTACAATAGACACGCTTAGCTATGGGTTTTGGTCTGTTTGTGCGTGGCTGCACATGTTGCGTGCGTGCCCTGTGTGCTCACCTATGCTTGGCCTTTGCACAAGGCCACAACCGCTTCCATTTGTTAAGGTGGTATCATTAATTTTGTGGCCTTCAGCGTTGTTTTCGATCCATGGGTTCTGCTTCCGTTCGTCTGTATGCTAATGTCGTTCGATGTAGTTGTGTATTTGCTGGCGCCTTAGTGTGTACATCCACACCGTATGTTCTCATGTGTTTGTTCCTGTTTTGCTAGACGTTCTCTTTCGTTACCCCTTGTCTGTCAGAATATCGGCTTAGTGCTCTTCCTCCAAGTGGTACCGGTACTGCTACTCATGTGAGGTTCGTTTTGTTCATGCATTCTGATGCTCATAGAGTCAAAGAAATGTGTGCTGCTGCTGCCATGAACGCACCCGTATCTTGTTGTGTGCTTCAGACGTTTGTTCATATCATCTGCTTGTCGTGTGTTGATCAGCCTTACTCCGAAGCAATGTTTGCGGAATGTTATCAGCTGGTTTCTCTTTACGTTGTGCCACTGCCTTGTGATTTGTGAATTAATTGTATGAGCTGCATGCGTACTATATGATTCGCATTTCATGGACCTGATTTTGAGCAACATGTCTAGTAGCTTTATTTAGGTTTCATTGCTTCCTTGATGTGTTGTTTAGATCCGGAGTAGCTTTAGATTGGGAGGATGCTTGGTTCCCATGGCGATCTCGCTATTAATTTGAACAAACACTTATCCTAGGCTGATCAGGGGCGTGCTGCTGGTGGGGGACGACTCACTCGTCGACGTCGACCTCAACCTGCTGAAGCTAGAGAACATGTCTTCTACCACAACGCTGACTGCTTGGGCTAATGCGTGTGCTACAACGTGTATGGCTAAGTTCTAGAACAAGGATAAGAGAAGGCATTCGGCGAGGAGGAGCAGGAGCTCTTCCTCTATGAAGAAGGTAGGATGTTAAGATCTAGAAATAGTTAATTAGTTGGTTCTGTATGGATTTAGAATATTCAAGCAAGTTCAGATGTCTCATCACAATTCACAAATTGACTATTTTTATTCCAAAATTATTTTTTCCCAGAGCTGCTGTACGTAAACTTACCACTAAATTTATGGCTGATGGCTTAAATGCAGAATTCATGGGTGTAGGCCACGAAGATGCAAATACACGGGTAAGGTAAATGCCATTTCCTTACTTCTTCCAATTTCTAATCTCTATGTGACTCTACACAAGATAAAAAAACATGTATGATGGTCGGTGTGAAAATGGAAGCTTTAGAATATTTCTCATGCAGTGTGAAGACCTCAAATAGTTTATTGCATTGGCTTCTATGTTTTTGCTAGAAAATGTCATCTACCGCATCAATTATTTCATGTTTATAATTATGAATAGTTTTACCATATTAAATATAAAAAGATCTCAAATCTTTCAGTTCTTGTGCATGACATATCTACATTAGACTTCTAATATTGTTTCCGCAAATATTAAACATATTGTTTACCTGCGCCTTAACCAGGTGATTTGCCGGCGCGCGTGATGGACTAGTGTATAATAAACGAGAAGGCAACGACATCCACATCTTGTATGTGATTGAGACATGTTGACGTGGCACTTTCTCAAGCCTGTTGACGTGGCACTTTTGAATATGGAGACTAAATTTTAGAGTGTCTTGGAGTAGGCTAGTCTCTTTTTTTTTGTGAGATCTATTTTACAAAATAGCTAAATCAGTAAAATTGGCTAATCTTTTTGACTAATCTTTTGGAGATGCTCACAACTTGATATGTCGTCTCTAAAATTATACTTTGATCATTTATTTATTTTATTTTATATTATTTATGTTTATAAACGTATAGTAATTAGATAGGTCATTTGATTCTAAATCTAACTCTATCAAGTATGTATTATATAATAGTTTAAAACTGTTAGGTCAGTCTCAGTGTGAGTTTTATTTGCATTATTAAATAGGTTGTCACGTAGATATTTTTTACGACATGGCAGTGTATTTAAGAAGAGAGAGCATAAATGAGGATGAAACTCTCTTGTCACGATTATCAACTCTCTATTATTCATAATTAAATGTCTATAAAACTATAAAATAAAACTTCGCATCGAGGGTGGGTGTTTTATCCAAATTTTATTTTATTTTATATGACATGACAGTCTTGGAAAATAACGTCATGAAACTATCCACCGAGACTGACCTTAGTTAAAATTATTGGTTAAAGAATTTTAAATTTAGAATCGTGATACGCGTATCGTTTTCCCTTTTTTTAATCGATCCGCGTGGCGTTTGACTGATCCAAACACGGCAAGAATACAAAGGGAGTGAACCGGAAGTTCAGCGGAGGCCGCCGCGTACCACGGCACCGCCGCCCTCATGTCAGCCGATGACACCAGACGACCTGCCACTGCCAGCCGCCGGAGAGCAAAGCCACCCGGCACTCGCGGTCGCGAGTCACCACGCGACCCATGGGACAGCGACCCGGCGCTCCCATGCTACCACGCGACCCATGCTTTTACTTTTATAATAAAAAAACACGGATAGTACGATAAGGGCCCTGTTTGGCTTACTATATATATATTTAGCTTATTTGGTTTTTTTTTAGTCGGAACAGTATTTTTCTTTCACAATAATTCAGTCTGAACAGTATTTTTCAGCCAGTTTCAGACTAACGATCGGGACCAAGATAACAATACTATAAAATTAAATACTGATGTTAACGTGACATTTAATCCAAAAAATAAAATTTATGATATTAACCGTCACGGAGAGTATAGTGTCGCACACTCACAAACTCTACTTTCCGTACATTGCAACGGGAACTCCATATTTCGGTGCAAAGTAAAGCTATACAACAATTTTATCGAATTCTTAACTCTCTTATCACCAACTTAAAGTAACTTTTGCATCGAAAGGTAATGGACAGCTGCTAGCACAATGCTATCGTATTGATATTCAATATTGTTTCGTGATTCATATTATACCATAAAAGAAGGAACCCCGACGGGTGGCGACCAAATTACGTTAGAAAGTTTTTGACACGTACCAGTGGAATATTCCACATGGTAATAGCGGTGCATACTCTACCATCGACCATCGAGCAAAGGCAAAGATTTACGACGACCCAAGTAGTCATTGGCTAACATCGCAAGGCCAATCAACATTCTATCACTATACCTCAAATAAATCAAATCACTAAATAGATACTACCACAGAACCTCAGATTTTGCTTCACCCGTTGAGCTTAGTAGTCAGTATTACCTGTAGACAATGATAACAAAAAGGTTCAGGGAAATTTCATCGAACATATTACCTGTAGAAAAGAAAAATCGATCTGCAAGGTGGAGCTGCAAGGGCATAATATATCATATCAAAAATTTTAATACAAAAAATGGTTAAAGAGCAATGTGTGTCGATATTGTCTTCACTTATGTTGCCAACACACTACAGGAGCTTTGTTTTGTTCTCTATTATTGAGTCCAACTTGCCCCCATTTTATTGTCAATGTTTGTAAGATCAGTACCAAATGCACAGTCATTGGGCATTGCCTTCCTAGGTGGAGTTACGGCAACAATATTGACATTGTTTTGAGACAACGAAGATAGCACACTGGCAATGCCATATAGTCAAACTTTGGCTACAAAGTTAGTAGCAGAATTAGTATAAGTTGTACTTGTATAGGAAAATATTTGCTAGAAGCATGCAACTATAAAAAATAAAAAAATACATGTACTAACTTCTCATGTTGCTCTCTGCACCGTCCATCTCCAAGAGTCCAGGGAGAAACCTTGAAGCTTCATAAAGTGATATCGTCTCAACCTACATCAGATATAAATCCCATTATCTTTTTTGATCAAATTGTGGCAGGTATTCTGAATATTCTTTAAGAAGAAAGCAAATGATAATGTATAAGGATCAGCGATCTTGCAGCCGAGCGCAGCTGAAACAAAGAAAGAGAGAACTGCCACTGCCAGCCGCCGGAGAGCAAAGCCACCCGGCACTCGCGGTCGCGTCGCGGTCGCGAGTCACCACGCGACCCACGGGACAGCGACCCGGTGCTCCCATGCTACTCTCGCTGCCGCTGGACCCCGCGACTCAGAAAATGTGGCCACGCGTACCACGTGCTGGGACCCTCTCCCTCGTGCGTCCCAGGAGAGGGGACTGACTGCGGGGCCCGGTTCCCTCGTCTGGTGGGCTCACATTTCCCGTTATAAATCCGCGCGGCGCTCTCCGTATTTGGGCAACACAAAATCTCGGACTTGGTCCATTCCACGACCCAGAGGCCGAAAGTCCAAAAAAGGCGCTGAAAGAGTGAAAGGGAGGGGGCGTCGGCGTGGCGGCGGCGACGCGAGGCGATCCCGATCCTGATCCAACACACATCTCGAGGAGGGTCCCGGAGGCCGTCCAGCGTCCACCCGCTCCCGCACCCCACCGGCCCACCCCATCGCTTCGTCGTTACGCAGTTCGGTCCACCTATCGATCCCTCCTCATCGCCTTTTATTTTATTATTCTTTAGTTTTCATTTTCCCCTTCGTCGCTGCTATATTTCGCGGCCGCCTCCCGTCCTAATAATAGTCGCCGCGGGCAGTGGATACCGCCACCGCCACCGGCATGGGAGCGCTCGAGGAGGCCTACCTCGCGGCCGCCGCGTGCGCGTGCGAGGAGGAGGAAAGCGACGACCTCGGCCTGCTCGCAGGGGACGCCGCAGCGGCGGGCGACGCCATCGAGCCGGCGGTGCGCGCGCTGCTGCTGGGGCTCGGCGAGGACGACTGCCGCGAGGGCCTGCGTCGGACGCCCAAGCGCGTCGCCAAGGCCTTCCGCGACGGCACCCGAGGTACGGCGGACCCACCGCTTCCCCCCTCTCCGTTTTCCCGCTCCCCTGACTTCGTGGATCCGTCGGTAACAATCGTCCTCGTGCTTTGTGTGGAAAGTGGCGCCCTCCCTGATACGTGGTTGTCCTGCCGTCGTGGAGTGGTGCTCTTCAGCGTACACCACGCTAGAGAGCCTAGTGGAGAAGAGAATAACACCGCCGTGTGGCATTTGAACACGTATGGTTCTGTTCGGATCTCGCGACGAGGGGTGCTTGATGCTTGCGCTGAACCTTGGGATTATTCCCTGGCAAATTCCATCGTGGGAGTTAGTAGAGTCCGACCTAAACTGAATGCAGTTTGGTGCGGGCGGTCGTTGGCATCTGTCGTAGTCGGTTGTGCTGGTAAGGCTTCCCTAGTCGACTACTTAGATTGCTCACGTCGTCACGCGTTCGGTTCAAATATTTGACAAATGACAAGCCACTGTTTGAAAATTTAGCTGTCGACCACCTAACGCTTCTTTGACGCGAGTACATAGAGGACCTGGGTTGGTGGCTGTTTCACTGTTATTACTACGATGAGCTTGTGTTTACTGTCCAGTGTGAGAGACTGCCAATCTTATCAGTGTCTTCTGGTTTCTAGTCCAGCTTATCCCAAGCTATATCATTAGGGAATTTCATAGTTAACCGTTATAAAAAAAAGGGCAGACCCGCTGCCGGAGGCTCCCATACGAGTGGGGTTTTGGGAAGGAAAAAAACGAGGCAAGCCTTCCCCCCGCAAAATCTGTGGAGAGGCTGATTAACCGTTATGGCTGTGGTTTATTACTTTATTTGCGCTTTTTGTTAGAAGCTACAATACACTAGAGGGCTTTTGTAATTAAGATTTAGGATAAGTTACAATACACTGGAGGGCTTTTGTAATTAAGATTTAGGATAGTGATGTGTGGAGACTTCACTTGCCACTAAATAGTGGTTGACTATTTATTGTGTCCTTCACTGACGACTTCATACATGTTAAATCTCAACATAAGCCACTAGCTCGTCCACTTCCATGGCCATTTCCCTCTACTTCTAAGAACATCAGCACTTCTGAGTTCTGACACAAATTACTAATTTGATTTAATTGTATTGCTTTGTTGCTGTAATTTTTAGTTTTACCATCACTAGGTACTGTCCCTTTATCTCTCTTCAGTTTCACTACTTTAAGCAGCTACTGATTATTAGAGATTTTTGTCAGTTGAAATTTTTTCCTAGTTAATGTAGTCTTTTTTAAGGCAACTTGCACTTCTTCAGGCATTTTCTTCATCAATCTCCCTTACACTAACTTTTTTATTATTACCATTTTATAAGAGCATTCTTGATTTAAAATGAACCTAGACATCTAGTTGTTTATGGTATTATATATTTCCTTATTCATGAACTCGGAAGGGTTTTGGAATTAATGACTACCTGGGAATGGGCAAAACATCGATAAATTCGGTTATTGAATGATCTTTATTTGAGATAGAGGTCTGGTGTGTTTAAAATTGATCTTCTATTTTGTTCAGTTTTTTTAAGTATTTGAAAATCATTTTTCACTACAGGCGAAAAATTAAGAGTTACCTGTAGTCTGTGGAAGTATTTGAAAGAACCACTTTCTGCTTTTTTCTTTTCTTTGATGTCAACATGAGACGTTATACTTGTCATGTTCTTTTCTAGTCCTGTATTATTAATGGCCATTGGCAGTTATATTACACTTGGCTTTGGTATTTTGGTTACTGTTTGTTTCTTTCGAAATAAGTACTGCCTTTTGTATTCAATTATAAAAATGTGGACCTGCTAAGAGCTTAACTCCTCTCCCAGTATAAATTGCAACTTTGAGCGAACAAGCCAAGGTTAGGTCAGTGAGCCGCTGCCTCTTCTCCAAAGCTGAAAACGGCTGGAAGTTTGACATATTCAAGCTTTTTAATTTACTACACTTCTGCTGTAGGCTTTAGCTGCTAAGAAGCTCTGTCTCTCTGGTACTATAAAATTACAGATTGAATGGTATTGAACAATTTGATTAACCACAAATTATTCTCCAATGCCCAACCTCACTTTTGAGCTGATAGATCCTGCCTTTGTTTGGGCAATAAATCTTTCTTCTGTGCTTTAAGATTCTTCACATGGGAGTAATTGGCAGTCTTCTATTCAACAATTTGTGCTAATCTTGTCTGAAAATGATAAAGTACATTATGTTTTGAATTCCTGACATGAACCACAACATTCATGTTCTACTAAAAAAAAGCCATGTGAAATCTGGATAATCTCTTCCCATGCAAGTCATGTGTAGTAGAGGTTGTCACGGTGTTCTTATTCAAGGACCAGAACTGTTTATACCACCAGGGGCGAAGCCATGTTGGGTTACTGTGGTGCACTGGCACCAGGGTGTACCAAAATTTATTAGTAAATCGACAATACTCACCATGTAATATGAAAAAATTTGATATGTTGCTTGAGTGGTGCAATTCTGATGATAGCTTTGCAAAGAGTGACATCTGTGCGGATGTGTTTCCTGTTTTCTTTTCTTTTTTGCACAACCTTTTGTTTTCATGAAGATGTTTGGGTTATTATTCATCATCTCTACTTTTCTTTCAATTGCTTCCTGATCTGTATTTAACATATATCTAAATCTACAGGTTACAGGCAAAAAGTAAAGGACATTGTGCAGGGTGCTCTGTTTCCAGAGGTTGGTGTGGACAAAAGGACTGGGTCTGCTGGTGGAACTGGCGGGCAAGTAGTTGTTCGAGATATTGAACTTTTCTCATACTGTGAATCATGCTTGCTTCCATTCAGCATACAGTGCCATGTTGGGTATGTTCCCTCAGGTGGAAGGGTTGTTGGGTTAAGCAAGCTTTCCAGAGTATCTGATGTCTTTGCCAAGAGATTGCAAAACCCTCAAAGACTAGCTAATGAAGTCTGTGGTGCACTGCATGCTAGCATTCAACCTGCTGGTGTGGCTGTTGCTCTGCAGTGCTGGCACATTCCTTTGCCAGAAAACCTGGAATGCAAGACTTTGCAAGGCTGGATTAGAACTTCACATTCATCTCGCTCTGGAGTTTTTGAGGGTGAAAGCAGCACTTTCTGGAGTGACTTCCTGGCTCTTCTTAAGCTTAGGGGCATAGACATGGAGGCTGAGGACGATTCTGTCTCTATTCCTTGGTGCCCCTTAAGGTCTCATGAGGTTCCACTCTCTAATGGGCTCTGCAAGAAAAGATCAACTAATGGCATGGTTTCTGCAGTAACCTCAATGCTCTTATCACTTGGAGAGGACCCCCTCAGGAAAGAGCTTTTAGGCACTCCTCAGCGTTATGTGCAGTGGCTGATGAAGTTCAGAGCATGTAATCTACTAGACGTGAAGCTGAATGGCTTTACACTTAGTAATGTTAGCTTATATGATAGAACAGGTGGAGGCACAGCTGATCATGGAGCAATCCGATCTGAGCTGCATTTGCCATTTTGTGCTCAATGTGAGCACCATCTTCTGCCCTTCTATGGAGTAGTTCACATTGGGTACTTTGACAATGGAAGCAGAGAAGGCATTGATCGGTCACATTTTCAGGCATTGGTTCATTTCTATGGGTGCAAGCTTCAGGTTCAAGAAAGGATGACAAGGCAGATAGCTGAAGCGGTTTATTCGGTTTCACACAATGGGGCCATGGTCGTTGTTGAGGCCAACCACATTTGCATGATCTCAAGGGGGATAGAGAAAATAAGGAGTAACACGGCAACAATTGCAGTTTTGGGCCAGTTTTTGACTGACCCTTGTGCCAAGGCATGCTTCTTACAGAATGTTTTAGATACAGCTGGTTCTGCGATATGAATCGTATCGCTAGCAGAGAAAAATTTGTGTTTGGGAGTTACTATTCAGCGATGGCAATGTCTGCCAGTCTACTGGCCTAGCATGATTACCACTGATAATGTCCGTTGCTCTTCTCAGGTGCAAATTTGTCACCTGGAAGACTGTACCGAGGATGTCACAAGAAAGCACCAACAGGGTTTTGGTTCTCTCGTGTTGTACCATGCCACTTGTACGGCACTTCAAATAAAAAAAAATAGTAATAGTTACAACCGTGCCAGAAAGGGTATAGTTATTCTTACGTCTAGATTGTTTTTGAATTGTCATTTGTTGTTGAAATTTTAGTGGAGATCACTCCGGCTATTGTTGTACTGTTGAATTGATACTGCACGCCTGCGCTGATCGAGATCAGTAAAGAAAATTACTCAGATATACTATGTGTTCCATTGGCCAACGGAATGTCATACGTTCTTGTAAATTAGGCGATACCATTCCAGCTTCTGTTTTGGGTTGAATCAGCTTACAGTGTCCACCAAGTTAGTCGGGACAGCTTCTGTTGTGGGTTGAATCAGCTTACTGAGTCGACAAAGCGGACTTGCTCGACGTCTTTCGATGGATCACGACTTGTCATATGCTCTTGTCATCCCAATTTTATGTCATGGTGTTGGAATTGGAACCTGATTCTGGATGTACCCCCCAAAAAATGAAATAATAAAAGAGACATGGTTCTGGATCTGATCTCTACGTGCTGGTAGCGCCACCGGAAAACACGATTCCAACGCCACGAGCTTTCTAGAGTCGGCCGCGCCATGCTCACCTGACTACCTCGGCACTGTACCTGACGGCCCTGGCCAATTTGTTTCTGCTGCGGCTCGCGACCGGCTGGTGGGGGATCACGCGACTTGGGCCTGTCCGGTCCGGCTGCCCCCGCTCACCAACCCTTCAAAGCACCCGCGCCGCAGGACACTCACACCTAACCGTCTGCCCCCGGGCCCGGCGAGCACCGCGCAAGGTCAGAGCCGCGCAACCTATCATGCATTGCGTGCGACCGACCACAACGTCTTCATTCTCCGCTAACAGAACCCGAGGCGGCGTGGAACGGTAGCTGCACGAGGCTGAGAGTTAGCCAGCACACTTGCCATACTACAAATAGTAAGGATATAATTGACTAGTACTCCCTCGGTACTCAAAAATAAAATCGTTTTAGATGGTGACACGGTCTTCAAAGTATAACTTTGAATTTTTATTTTTTTTAAAAATATTTATTGAAAAGTGATATATGTATATTTTTATTAAAGTATTTTTCAAGACAAATCTATTCGTATGGTTTTCATGTTTCGAAACCTAACAACTTAAAAGTTATTCATAACTTATATTTCCAATGTTTTACCCAAATCTTCTCCGAATAGACTTCATTTTTTTTTAAGTATGGAGTGAGTACTCGATTCTTAAAGAAAAACTAACAAAATCTGGCAGTACACTGTTAGTGCACGTCTCAGTGCACAGTGGAACAGTTGATGTGCAACAGTCGCGTGGATCTCCTCCTCCTCGGCTAGCTAGCGTTCCACCCCATGGCCGCTATTTAACGTTAACGCCGCCCAGGCCGTGGTAAACAGCGGCGGCGGCAAACGGCAGCGTGTCCCGGAGCATCACGACCCCAGCGGCGGCGGCGGCGCGTTCGTCGACGAGAGGAGGAGGCCGCAGACGCAGAGCAGGCACATGGCCGAGGTGAGCATCAGCGCGGTGCCGTTCCTCCCGACGGCGGTGGCGGGGGAGTCGACGCTGCGCGCGTCGTTCGTGCGCGAGGAGGACGAGCGCCCCAAGGTGCCGCACGACCGCTTCAGCGACGAGGTGCCGGTGGTGTCGCTCCAGGGCATCGACAACGGGGGCGCGCGGCGGGCCGAGATCCGCGCGCGCGTGGCCGCCGCCTGCGAGGACTGGGGCATCTTCCAGGTGGTGGACCACGGCGTGGACGCCACGCTCGTGGCCAACATGGCGCGCCTCGCGCGCGACTTCTTCGCGCTCCCGCCCGAGGACAAGCTCCTCTTCGACATGTCCGGCGGCAAGAAGGGCGGCTTCATCGTCTCCAGCCACCTCCAGGTACATGCCGACACGCGAGTATGATGTGCCTGCGCTGCTGCCTTAACGTATTAAGCGTGGCCGGCAGCTGGATGTGTGTGGCTGTTGCAAACTGAGTTGTCTCTGCTGTGCGCTAACAGCTGTACGTTCTTATATACTGATTTTTTTCTAAACTTTTGCTATTTATTTGTTGACAGATTTTATTGCTGGTATTAAATCTGTTAGTTTTTTTTTGTATGTTTGATTGTCCTTTATGATTTATGCTATAACTGTTTACTAAATCATATTTATAAAAAAATGTGACAGATTTAACCACGTAACATCTGTCGACAGATAATGAGACATTTTTTTATAATAAAAAAAATAGACGAACACAATACAAACGTGTGGTTTTGCAGGGGGAGGCGGTGCAGGACTGGCGTGAGATCGTGACCTACTTCTCGTACCCGGTGAAGGCGCGCGACTACTCGCGGTGGCCGGACAAGCCGGCGGCGTGGCGGGCGGTGGTGGAGCGGTACAGCGAGCAGCTGATGGGCCTGGCGTGCAAGCTCCTGGGCGTGCTCTCCGAGGCGATGGGCCTGGAGACGGACGCGCTGGCCAAGGCCTGCGTGGACATGGACCAGAAGGTGGTAGTCAACTTCTACCCCAAGTGCCCGCAGCCGGACCTCGCGCTGGGTCTCAAACGCCACACCGACCCCGGCACCATCACGCTGCTGCTGCAGGACCTCGTCGGCGGCCTCCAGGCCACGCGCGACGGCGGCCGGACCTGGATCACCGTGCAGCCCGTCGAGGGCGCCTTCGTCGTCAACCTCGGCGACCACGGCCACGTGAGTAGTCTCCGTTCCATCGTTCGTCCGTTTGCGGCCATGTGTGATGGACTGCTAGCTGGCGCTTACACATATATATGACGAACGTGTGCAGCTCCTGAGCAATGGCAGGTTCAAGAACGCGGATCACCAGGCGGTGGTGAACTCAGAGTGCAGCCGCCTGTCCATCGCCACGTTCCAGAACCCGGCGCCCGACGCGACAGTGTACCCGATGGCCGTGCGGGACGGGGAGGCGCCCATACTGGACCAGTCCATCACCTTCGCCGAGATGTACCGCCGCAAGATGGCGCGCGACATTGAGCTTGCCAAGCTCAAGAAGCAGGCCAAGGCCGAGAAGCAGCTGCAGAAGAGTGCCAAGGAGTTCGCCGTGACGAATGCCAAGGAGTTTACCGTGCTGAACGCCAAGCCTCTTGACGACATTCTTGCCTGATAAGGCGACGTACTGCTCCATTGATCCACGGTTTATATCGTCGCGTGTGATTTCATTTATACTAATTAAGAACATAGCAATATACGAGCGTGTGGCAATTAAGTTAAGCGCTATGAAATAATGTGTGGAAAACTGGAAACTGAAATTAAGGCAGCGCTGCTCCCGCTAGTGTGCCTGTGAGACGACTATGCATTTCTTTCTTTTTCTTTGGAAATGTATTTCATGTATTAATTCTCAGATCTGCCGTTCCAGATACATGGACGGATGACCCATGTAAAATCTTTGTTTTTTAATACACGAGAACTATATATATATATATATATATATATATATATATATATATATATATATATATATATATATATATATATATATATATATATATATATATATAAAAGAACAAAGTGTGGACATTTTTTTGTGCGACATCTGTTTTGGTTCGTCCGTCTACCCACGCCTGCGATTCCCGCCTGCTTTGAAGGAAACAAATCAATCACCTGAGGCCACATGCATAGAAGGAAACAATAATCATGCATGGAAGAAAACAATCATGCGGTGCCCCACTCTCGCTCGGTCAGATATCTTTCATCTCTACGTAAATCGGATCATATGGTATTGTCCATAATTTAGAGGCTATTAAATTTAGGGTGCATAGTAGTCCACCTAGCTTTATTCTTGTAACTTCTACCTCTTTATGTGTTAGTCTTTGACAATGGTATAATTTATTCGCAAAGCTCAAGCAAGACAATTGGCAAAGATCAAGCAAGACGACTCAATGAGGTTAGCCTTTAATTTTAGTGTTTTCAGCATGCAGACCTGAAATTAAAAAGTGGCTGCTCTTTGAGAACATCAATGGTGCAAAATAAAATATGTGCAGGTTATACATGGTGAGACTAATGAACCTTCTGCAAATTTCTAAACGAATATTCCCACCATTAGTATATAGGTCCATTCTCCTGCGTTTCTTCGTGCTCCCATTAGCATATAATATGAAAGTATTGTTGAGTTCATCACGACTTTCAGTTGACTACTCCCATTAGCATATACTTCCTCTACCCTAAAATATAAGTTATTATGGGATGCGTGCATGTCAAACTTTCTCAACTTTGACTAGGTTTGTAAAAAATACGTGCAACATTTATATCTCCAAATAAGTTTATTATGAAAATATATTCGATGATTTATGTAATGATACTAATTATGTATTATAAATATTAATATTCTTTTATATATAATTGATCGAAGTTAAAAAAAGTTGACTTCTCTGAAGCGAGAATGAATTCTATTTTGGGACAGAGGGAGGATATGAAAGCAGTGTTGAAAATATTTTAACAATCAAGTTTGTCTCTATCTGATTGGTAAGCTTAGACATCATAATGGCATCAACAATTTTGACTCTCATGGACACCCTCATGGATCAGTGTAAATCATCCTAATCCTACAACATACACAAATGGCAACCTTAAAGTTATGATATTTTTAAAGGGTGGACAATAAAGACCATCTTATATGTTCTAGCATTAGAGTATATACGCAGGGCATATAGGCATGGTGGTGCAAGTGAGCAGCCGGCAGGAGTCGAGAGTTAGGGGGTGTTTGGATTCTAGGACTAAACTTTAGTCTCTGTCACGTTGAATTTTTAGATATAAATTAGGAGGACTAAACATGCGCTAATTATAAAACTAATT